CATTTGTTTTTTTATTTTTTTCCATATTCAGCTAAAATTTGGTATGGTGGTATCTGAGAGCGAACACCAACACATACAGTAGTACTGTCAAATCAAATTTTTAAAATGGCTACTATATGGCATTCCCCGTCAAAGTTTATGCAGGAAGTTTCTAGTTTTTATTATTCTTATTAAAAAATATCTTTACATTATTCACGTGTCAATGTCGGACAGGAAATAATGACAAAAAATATTTTCTTTTAGAAATGAAGCACAATAACAAGCCTTGAAGTGATGACAGGTTACTGATCATGTTAAGAAAGGTCACTATTTTATGTGCATTTTTCTTTCTTTCTTTATTTTCATAAATTTGGTGCTCGGTTTTCAACAAAGCTAAAACATTTCCCGTATTTTTCAGACTGTAAGGTGCACTTAAAATACTTTAATTTTCTCAAAAATCAACAGTGAGCCTTATATATTAATTCTGGCTGTTCTTACTGACCTCGAACCAATTTTATGTGGTATAACTGAACAATGTTGAGGGTTATTGTGAACAAGTTGAATAAAGTTTGACTTATCTGACTGTTTTGTTTCGCTTATAATCCGGTGCGCCTTATAGTCTGAAAAATACACTACTCTAACGTAAATGTAAAACATTCGATTCAAAACGCAACTTTATTTGTTTAAAAATTAGAATTTCACCAGAGCTACATTCCCAAAAGCAGAAGCTGACTCAAGAAAAGATTGAGGCTCTGTTTGTTCATCATAACAAAACGGCAAATCTTCCACCTGATTACCCCCTCAGCGCCTTTTCTCTCCTAACTACAGGAGTATTTGAATCTTGACTCTGATTCTACAGCGAGCAAAGTTTTATTGCCTCCCAGATGGCTTCAGCTGATACTCAGAATGTAAAACATGGGAGGTGTCACAAGAGATTTGATTTGAGCCCATGGAAATAAAGTAAATGAAACAAATCTGATGCATTTGGCCAAGAACAAACTGCAGACTGAGCTGAGGATACTCCGCCTAGACTTATTGGTTCTTAACTCATTGTTTACATTTGTAGCATAGTGGTGAAGCACATATTATAATTTACATATTAAGTAAAAAGCTTTATCAAAATCATCAAGCCATTTAAAGGATGTAAAATCTTCTAACTTTATTTTTTTAGACAATTAAACCTAGAAATCGCATTTTCCCCATGTCACAAATTTAAGAACAGAAAGTGTCACTTATTGCAGAAATATTAAAAGGTAAATATATTTAATTGCAGTGATGGTAAAGAAAAGCAAAGCAATTTAGTTTTACAATTAGCAGCTTGTTCCATCAGTGTTGAATAAAATAAATACAGTCTGGTTTGAGACTGCCGGGCCCATGGGGATTGCAGGACCAGGCCGCATTAATGAGAGGAATGAAGGAGACATAAATAACTAAATTATGCAGCTGCATAAAGCCCCATAGTAACTCTGTAGGCACTTATTAGTGCCTTGAACTAAAATGGAATGATTTATGTTAATACTATGTTGGTCTTTAGTACAGTTTTTAATTCTTGACTAGAATTAATCTTGTACACATTCAAAACATGGTTATTATACGAGTTTCGGCTTACATCTGCTATTATTTTCTATTTAAAGTATATAGAGGATCAGCATGTTGGTATTAAACTCTTTGTGTGGATTTTTCTTTTCTGATTTATTTTAACTATACTTTGTTTTTCAACAGAATATACGCTGGAGCCATGTGAGGACCCCGGGATGCCTCACTTCGGCAGGAGAAACGGCTACAGTTTTGGAGTTGGGGACACGTTGTCCTTCTCCTGCAACATGGGGTACCGCCTGGAGGGGGCACCAGAGTTGATCTGCCTGGGAGGAGGGCGGAGAATGTGGAGCGCTCCTTTACCTCGATGTGTTGGTCAGTATGGCAGTCCTTTTTATCGTATAATATTTAGACAGGATCGAGAAAGCTTTTATTCATGTTCTGCCTCAAAATGAACATTTCAGCTACTCGGAGTACTTTTTACTTCAAAATTCAAATAAAATTATTTCCTATTCTTCCGTCTGAAGTTTAAAACTGTGAATATCTGAAATACTTTTGGACTTGGAGAAAATTTAAAGTTACTGTGATTTAGAAGTGGCATTGCAGAGGTTTGTCGTTTGTGTAACTGTTAATTTGTACATTCAAGGCTCCATAAATTAGAGAAAAGAATTAGCTTTCAGAGTAAAATGGTTTACCTTGAGTCATACATTGGTGTCCTGACCTGTACTGAATCTTTTTGATTCAGTGTAATTCTTTACACAAAAGAGAAAGCAATACGTTATGGAATTGTTTAGAGGAGGAAAGTGAAAGAATTGCATTCATTGGTTGTAAAAGTATTGATAGACATTTTACTTTAGGGCTTTTATTCACATAAATAAAGTATATTCATAACTTTACATGTTTATTCCAAGAAATAAAACAGAATGGGAAAATTAATAATTGTGAACAAAAATGATACACAATTTGGGTTTTACAGTATGTTTTTGTTGGGTTTTGTTGAATATACTGGCAATTCGTTAGAAGATGCTTCAAATTTGCTGACTCATGCCACTTCATAGTCTGCAGCAGTCTAATGCAAAGGATGAGTACCAACGTTCCTATAACCTGGAGGTAAATTAAAAAAACATGAAGTGGGATTTGATTTGGGAGTGCACTTGGCGATAAGGTAGAATCATTGTTTCTTGCTTCCTCACTCGCTCACATGAAAATGTGTTGAAAAAGACAGGAACAGAGAGCCAGAGCTTCGTAGACCCAACATTAATCAAGAATAAATTGTGAACTTTTTATACAATTGTCTTGCTATTTGTAAATCTTTGATTATTTGTCACTGATATGACATAAACGTATAATTCATAAAATAGAATGGTTTGTTTCACTGCTTTGTAGCGTAATGTTCTTTTTTTTAGATTCCGAGTCTTTTTCACTAACCTAAAAGTGGCCAATTTTAGATAAAAATAAAAATACTGTCAGAACGTTTTTGAAAACTGCTTGCACGTTTACACCAAATACTGTATATATACGGCTTGGGACCCAAAAGTCCCAGGTTCGATCCCCAGTCACTGCACGTCACGTGGTGTCTTTGGGCAGCACACCTCATCCCCAAAATGCATCCCGGGCGCTTTCAATAGCTGCCCACTGCACCACCTGGTGGTGGATGGGTTAAATGCAGAGACTAATTTCGCCATTGTATGGAAACATACAGTGCTGACATTGTGATGACATTATTATTATTATTATTATATACACTTCACCACATGCTCTTGCTGAGGGCGGACGCTTTTCCCCTCCTCTCCCTCCTTCGCTTTGCTTTGCTGCTCTGTCCTGTATGTGAAACTGCTTCTGAGCCTCTACATATCTTGCGAACAGTAATTTTGTGGATCTGGTCAGTTGGGTTCTCAACGCAATGGAAAAAAAAAAAAAAGAGAGACAAGCTTCAGGTGAGTTGAACTGCGTGGAAGACACGTTCTGCTGTTGATTGAGGACGCCGAAATTGCATATAATTGGATTTAAGATAACAGGTTTCCTGTTTTTGGAATTGTCTTGTTCCTAGTTTATCAACATACAAAGAAGACAGCCGCAGATAATCTGGCCTGGTCAGGCTGCCGCCTATGTGAAGGTTTGCTCTGTGTCTCGAGCACCCTGACTCTATTGCTTAGCGGACTGGATCGCAAATTGGATGTGATTTGTGAGAATCACAGGCCATATGTGGCCCGTAGGACTCGTTGGCAGGATGGATCAAATCTCGGGGAATATTCTCAGGCATGGGTCAGTGGTGTGTCCACTTAATTTAGACTTTTCAGAATCTATGAGACCAACAAAGACTCAAGGCAGATACAATTCAGTAAAGTTCTGCCTGCCTTCAAAACAAACATTATTTTTCTGCATTTGTCTCCATCGGCTGGCCTTGCAGGCCGCCTATCTCAATTCGCCTGGAGGCTCTGTAATCTGACACTCTGACCCCCCCCCCCCCCCCCCCACACACACACACACACACACACACACTGAGGAGGTCCCCTGATCAACCTGAGTAAACCAGCTGAATAAACATTGTGTCATCATTTCAAGACTCTTAGATTCTCATTGGCGTTGTCCTTGGCTATTCCCCGACACCCCTTGAGAATGTTTACGGATCGCACTGGAGGGAACGGCTGATTGTTCCATCCTTATCAGAACTCCTACAGAGCCTCCGGGAGTGTCCTTGGACACTCTCACCGCCCTTGTCGTCTCCCCCCCATGGAATGTCTACGTCACCATGTGCTTCTATGTGCAAGGTGTTTTTTTTTTGTTTTTTTTCACTATCAGGGTCTTCTCATTCACGAAGAAAGAGTTTGGTAGGATTTTTTTTTTTGTTTTGTTTGCCTCCAAATCCTACGTGGGTCACTTTCACTACTTTTTTGTCTGTTTAAATAGATCTCACTTGTAAATGAGTCTTCAAGGCTCAATGTGATTTATCTGTTTAAATAAAGGTTGAATGAAAATTCTGTCTTGATAGTTCTGATGCACCTGGAAAGTCTTCCGTGTAGTTCAGACTTTTTAAACCCTTTTAGCCCTCAAATACATTCCTGAAAAATCTGGCCCCAAATAAATTGTACACAGCTGCCTTGCACTTTACCTGTTTTTGACCAATCCACAAACAATTTGAGAATAGTGGGTCTTTTTGGAAAAGGTGCTCACAAGGCAGGACCTAATCTTATAGTACACTGTGACTAAAGTAGTAGAAAATACTGTAGTGAACACAGTAAAGCTAAATAAAACACTACTTGACCCCAAATTTAACTCATAAGCCTGTAAACTAAATTGGGTAATTCAAAGAATCTACTTTGCAGGATTCAGCTGTTGCTACAGTGACTTGCGTTTCTTGCTTTAATTTAGTCTGTTTTATTCCTTGTTTTCATAAAATATCATGCAGAAATAGGCTGAACTGACATCTGAGAGATCTTTGTTTCCTTAAAGAAATATTGTCCTTTCTTATCTTTGAACAATGTTTTAGACTGCTCCAAAAAATGAGAGCAAATCAAGAGGGACAGGAAGAGACGAGTAGAGAAAAAGAACAAGCGGGACGCAGGAAACTCCACCACAAAAAGCAGTGGAGGAAGGGTGATTGAAATGGAGGCTGGTGAAGGAGGCACTATTGATATGAAGTGGGAGAGAGGGAGAAAGCGTAAGGGTGAGGGAATTAAAGAGGAAAAAGGGAGAGGGTGGAGAGGTAATTTTCTAAATGGAAACTATAGTGGGGTGATTTATTGATGATATGACAGCTGTAATATGACTATTACACAAGTATGGACACAGAAAAGGGGGAGAGTGGGAAGGAGGGAGGTTGAGAAAGAGAGGATAAGGATATGAATTCTGGAGATAGAGGGCATATGTGAAAAGTGCAGAGAGTGAGCTTGTTTAAGCAAATACTTTGTGAATTTCCACCACTTCATTGGAAGTTGAGTGGATAGTTCGGCTGTTTAAAAAGATGCGTTACTTGTTCTCAGCCATGCAAACATGCCAGAGTTTATTAAACTACTGTATCAAAAAATGGTCCATCAGCTTCAGATTTTAAAATATTTTCCTCTCCATGGGTAGCCTATCCAACTGTTTATTCAATGAGCAAATAATACCTTGTTTGAGAAGAACTCTGTTTTTAAAGAGACTTAAGTCAAAGTCAGAGTTTCTTTGCCATATGCACCACATGTGGTACATGTGGTGGACCAAATTTGTGTACAAAGGGTCCTAGTTACATCCAACAAAAGTATAAATTGTACAGAAAAATGAAAATAAGATTTAAAATATGAACTAAGAAAAACGTTAAACTAAAAATACACTAAGCACTAGTAGTACAAAAACAATATGCCGAACAGCAGCACATAATGCCATAGTTGCAAAGTTTTCTAGAAAAAAAAAAGAAAAAAAAAAGTTTTTGTGTTTAACTAATGTAGATGTATTTCTTTTTCAACTCTGGTGCCATGTTTTTAATATTTTAGTAGTATTAGTATGTTTTTAGTACTTTTGCTGCATGCTTTGGTATTCCTTGTTGTTTTTTTTTTGTTGTTGGTTTTTTTGGCGAGTCAAAATGGTTCTTCTCATCCTATACATTTAATTTCACTGTTGACCTTGTGTTGATTTAGCGCATGACAAATAAACCAAACCGAACCTAACTAGTAGCAGCAGGAGATAGCTGTAGCAACTCGTTTGGCCTCGGACATCACTGAAGAATATAACCACATTTCACTGTCTAATGGAAATTGTTCATAGCTTTTGCTACAAAATCCCATTTTAAAAGTTCTGAAGAATTAATTTAATTAAATATTTGAAGGGTCACTTATTTTCAAAAACAAAGCTTTTTAATGTTGTCCCATTGTATTGTTGGAGTTTAAACACAATCATTATATTTTATGTTTTTTTCTTATTTTCTCTTTACCTTCAGCTGAGTGCGGTTCTTCAGTCATAAATAATGAAGGAATACTACTCTCTCCAAACTACCCAATGAACTATGATAACAACCATGAGTGCATCTACAGTATCCAGGTAACTGTGTACAGCTTAAGACATTGTGGTAGCTGTTTAAAGTGTATTTTACTGAATAAAATGTTGATTTTTATCAATCAAATGGGGCTGAAAACACTCTTAATTGTCCTTGTTGGAACAATTTTAACATTGGTGTCAAGTTTTGCAGAATATACGACATTTTTAACTGATGCTAAAAACTAACACCATTAACAAAGCGCTTTGAGTGCACATTGCCTGTGATCCTGAATCTGTATTCTGTGTTGACTCCAGGTGCAAGCAGGAAAAGGTATCAACATCTCTGCTAGAACCTTTCATCTTGCCCAGGGCGATATTCTCAAGGTAAGAATACTCAACATACAAACTATTTCTATGCCATCAGTCTTACCTGCTATTTCTTTCTCCTACTAGTCACAAGATTTAGGTAAAAAAATGGTTTATTGTCTGTCCTAGTTGCTTGTGTATCATGAAAGCATTGTACTGTTGTTAATACAGATTCATGATGGCAAAGACAACACCGCCCAGGTTCTTGGGGCATTTACTGGGTCCTCCATGTTGGGCCTCACTCTGATTTCCACATCAAACCACCTCTGGCTGGAGTTTTACAGCGATGCAGAAGATACTGGAGAAGGATTCAAATTAGTATACTCAAGTAAGTTTGTAATCTTTGCTTTTTAGGCTTGTACGTTTTTTTTTTCCAAAACAAAAATTAAAAATGTACCGGGTTTATATAGGTCTAAACTATGGCTGCACAATGTAAAAACTAGATTAATAGATTACAATATCAGTATTGCAAGAGACTGTCAAGTGGGCTGTCACTGCCATTGATGTCCACACTTTCTTTAGATGATGGCTGAATGAAGATTTTAAATTGCACACAAAGGGTTGTTTTGTGATTCAAACAGATACAAATGAATGCATATAAAGCTTTCCACAACCTCTGATAACAGTTTAGGTCGATGTAGCCGGCTTGTGTTTGACAGTGTTCTTGTTGATGCACGACTTAAATTGCAAATTCTGTTTAAATGGAAAGTTGCATGATTGCATAGCATGGTCTTCAAAGTTCTTTGAGGTTACCTTTGTCTTTCTGCAGAGTAAGTAGAGTGGAATGCCACTTGCCTTTTCCCTCATTTCTCATATTTTTATTGGGGTGTTTTGGTAAAAAATATAAAAGTAAGAAGCAAAGGACATCAGCTTTAAGAACATTGCAGCAGTGTTTTTGGCATGCTTGTTTCTATTCTGCAATGTGTTTATAGCTAAGTTTGATATGGAGGATATAAGATGTATTTCAGTGTAACCCTCATGATGGATTTCAATAAATAATTCATGGTCTTTTGTTTTCTTACACATGTCTAACAAAGAATGATTTCAGATGGGCAACATAGCACGATAGATCTCAGGGTAATGACGGATGTGTTTACGTTGCTCACTGGTAAGAGCACAGCTTTCCAAATGGCCGTGTTTAAGGATTTAGACATGCACCTACATCACTCTGCCAGGGGAGAACTCAAACGCTGCCGCACCTTGTCTTCTGGGTAATATCGTAGATCAAATCCTGGTTATGGTCTTGTGAGGATATTTATAAATCTATTCAAATCCCACGCTGGAAAACGGTGCACTAACTGAATATTCTGAATATTACCATGGAAACTGAGCTCAGACAGGCTGTGAAAAACAACCTTAAATTGGATAAGGTGTGTACATGTTGCAGTTTCACTCCTTATAATGCAATGCCTCATGCATCTTTTTTTTTTGGTTTTCTTATTACATTGTAATGAGAGCCTAACAGAGTCTGTGACATCAGCAAAGCTTGTAAAAGAATACTGTAGTGTGCCAGATTTAAAAAAAAAAAAATATTGCTTTGCTTTTTGGGAACAAAAAAAAAACTAATTTGTTTTCTCGTGTGGGCCTTAAATCTTCCATTTTTCGCATTTCGAGGAGTGCACTGTCAAATTCTTTCTCTGTGTAATACTTCTCTCCAGGTTTTGAGTTGTCTCACTGCGAGGACCCTGGTGTGCCTCAGTTTGGCTTCAAAGTCAACGACCAAGGCCACTTCTCCGGGAGCAGCATCACATACAGATGTGAGCCTGGATACACTCTGCATGGGGCTTCAACACTGAAGTGCATGACGGGGGAAAGGAGAGCCTGGGATAACCCTCTGCCTTCTTGCATAGGTATGCCATTTTCATGTGTTTTTTATGCTTGTATGTATGCATTTCATACATGAACATGTATCAGATGTTTTGTCTTGATAATATGGCATTGCTTTGTAATGCATCTGGTAATGTCTCAACCCTTCATGGGCAAATTTAGTCAAGTGATGTCACTGTATCTGAATGCATCTCCATGGTAACTCAGCAAATGGAAGAGAAGCTCAAAGTATGACGTTTTCCAAGTTTTTGTTGTAAAATGCCAGTTTTTCAGCAAATCTTCATTGTTTTCCTGAACTAGTTTGAATGTGTACACCAAATTTAGTCAAACGACAAAGAATCAGCCATAAAAATATTAAAAATTTAGCCCTCTCAAATCATTAAAGGGTTCAAATTTCAGCCTCTAGAGTGAAAAACTGACTCTCCTGATTGAAAGTCTTCCCCACTTTTTCCATCTTTCCTTCAACATGTAAATGCACTCTTCCACAGTCATATGGTTTTTCACCGAGCACAATGTAGATATAGGTCACAACCCTGAATAATAAAAACTGAACAGAAGAAAAGGAGCAGAAATAATGCAAGGCATATCCTGTGCGCTCAGTTGGGACCGTACCTAGCTGTAGTGTGTAACTAGATGAATGCATAAACCCAGGTGTGACTGTCATATAAACAAAGTAAACGCATTATAAATGTCTGCCTTTGGTATATTGTTATAAAGCCAAAAACCTTTGGATTTATCCAGTTTGAACTTGCACTCAAAAACATTTTGAACAGCAATATGTATACTATTTTTATTTCCCCATTTTCTGTGTATTTATTTATTACCATCTCAGTTTACAGTGTCTCTTTCAATCCATTACGATGTGATCAGCCATTCTTTAAAAAAACACAAAAAACTGTCTCATAAACTGATGTTAATCAATTTTTGTTACGTACTATAAACAAACGTATCAAAGCATCAGCAAAGGAGTATTGACACATTTATAAATATTCAGTTGTAACACTTTTTAAATCACTCCCCAAGTTTTTTCACTGATTGGATAATATCACAGCACTGTCACAAATGCCAAATCAATGGGCTTCTTTCACAAGCTTTGCAATGAGTTTATGCTTTTAGAATTTACTCCCATCACACACACACACACACACACACATAGAGGTGATTCATGCAAAAACATGAAAATGTCAGGACACGTTAGAACAAAGTTCGTGCTCAATAATCCAGGTTAAAAAAAATCAATGTTCAGTCAGGTCATCTGGATGGTTTCTTTTTTTTTTTTTTATGAAATGTTTCATCCTTCATCCAAAGGACTTCTTCAATCTGAGGAGCCACCAAACAAACTGATTCCCACAAACAGCATACTCCATAGTGGGGGAAAAAAAAAAAAAAAAGTTTGCTGGTGCTATGATGGCCTCCGGGGCCGCCTTCTCCCCCGTCAACTCCTCTGAGACAGTCATGTCAAAGTGGTTCAAAACACCAAAGTCCATGCTCAATAATCCAGGTATAAAATCCAACAATGTTTAGGACACATTAGGTTTTCCCTTGATAGCAATGGTATGCTATGGTGTATAGCACACATTATGATGTAATGCAGTACACTTTATAGTCTTTATATAGAAATTTATTCCAGTATGTAGCTTCACAAAAGTTCTATAAACTATTTTTGAGCTCCAACAAATTTAAGTCAGGTCATCTGGATGGTTTAATTTTTTGTTGAGATGTTTTGTCCTTCATCCAAAGGACTTCATCAGTCCAAGGAGCTACAACAAAGTCAGTCCCACAAGCGACACACTCACATAGTGGGCCAGCCAGTTTGCTGGTGATAAGATGGTCTGAACTTTGTTGGATTTTCTACCTGGATTACTGAGCATGAACTTTGATGTTTTGAACCACTCTGGCTATGGCTGCCTCAGAGGAGTCGACGTGGGAGAGGGCAGGCCTCAAAGACCATCTTATCACCAGCAAACTGGTTGGCCCACTATGTGGATGTGCTGCTTGTTGGACTGAGTTTCCTGTGGTTCCTTGTTCTGATGAAGTCCTTTGGATGACGGACAAAAAACCTCAACAAGAAAAGAAACCATCCAGATGACCTGACTTAACTTTGTTGGATTTTTTTACCTGGATTACTGAGCACGAACTTTGATCTTTGTGAGCTCTTTAGTACATATAAAGTGTCTCATTGTGTAATTAAGCCCGGAGTAGCAAAATGGCCTCTGCAGTTTAACAAGTATTCCAACATTTTAAAGCCTTTTCTTACTTCATTTCAGCCTTTCAACTTTCTGAATTTGGATTCAGCTTAATAAGTCTCTCTTCTTTTCTCTATTAATAATAAAAGACTCATAAAACCACTGGCTAAAATTCTCTGACTTTGTATTTTAGCTGTGACACCCTGTGACCTCATCTAACCGTTGGTTTTAATATTATATTTTCTCTTATTATTCCTCAGTTGTTGTTTTTTTCCCCTTTTTCCCCCTCGGTTCTTTGATTTTTTATTAATTTTTTTCCTCGTTCTTTTGCCTATAGTCTTACTGCGTCGCTCCATCCTCACTCTTCATATTGCTCCTATTACCCAAGATAATGTATTCCAGTGATGAGGAGCCTGAGGGAGGAGGAACTTGCAGAGGGAGGGAAAGCGGAGAGAGGATGAAGATTGCGAAAATATATAACTGAGAGAGACAAAGTGAGAAAGAGGAATTATTTTAGTTATATAATGTGAAGTGATTTCTTCAGGGAGGAATGCAAGATCAGCACTTTGTTTGTTCTTCCTCTTCATCTGTCTTCCGCTCCACTCTTAACGTTCTGTTGGGTAGAAAAAAGCGAAATAGACAGCAAGGCGCAGGGGAGGAGCTTTGGCTTCGTTTTTAATCATCTTTTTTTTCCTCCAGTGATCATTTAGCAGCCTCTGAGGTCCACCTAGTGGGTTTGAATGTCCAAATAAACAATTGTCACGGACGGATAAATGGTTGTCTTGTCATAGCTCGCAAACACGACAGAACCCTCTTCCATCAGTTTCTCATCTGTGGGGCTTCTCTGACGGTTGTGCAATGTCACACTTGTGCTAATCTAAGTATTATACAGCAACATTTTTCACTCTGCTTTCATATCAAACTGCGTTCAAAGTCTTTTTTCTGCGTTTGTCATTCCCGCAGCGGAGTGCGGTGGTCGATTTAAGGGTGAGTCTTCAGGGAGGATTCTGTCTCCTGGATATCCTTTTCCTTATGACAACAACCTCCGCTGCACCTGGACCATCGAGGTGGACTCAGGGAATATCGTAAGGTAATGCGGGCTTCACTTAAAAGCCAGTGTTATTAATTTCAGTGCCTAATTAAATGTTTTCAAAACATTTTTATCACTAACTTAAGCCTATCAGTATTATTGCATCACTTCCTGTTCCATGTTACATCGAAAAACATGGTTCTGATTCTTTATGAATTTAGCATCAAATAGAATAAAGTTCAACAACGTGTGCATACAAGTTGTACATTTCTAAACAATAAAGCTTATTATGATGTTTCTTTTGCATATGATTCATAAATAATTTAAGCCCTCGCAGTTGTTGAAGGAATTCATAACACCTGCCACCTTTCAAGCACAAGTTTTGAACGACGCTTGTCTTATGTGGGCAAGAATTGTAGTAAATGTGGTCAAACCTTAAAAAAGAGCCTTAAATGAGATGTCACTTAAAGCATGTGACGTTTAAGACGTTAAATTTTACCTCAATATTTCTAAAAGTGACTGAGTTATAGCCATTTTTGTGCTGGGTAGTTTTGATTAGCTGCAGTAGCCATCTTAAATTGAGTATTCAGTTGTAGATGCATATCCATTGCTTACTTTCTGAACGTTTCATTAAAATGTTTCCACTGGTTCATGAGATATTTTGCTAACAGACAAATAGGGTCGACAACAGTTAATCCAAACATTTAAGCAAAAGGTCTAGCAAAATGGGTAGCACTTAGGGTATGTGTTATGAATGACTCTCGGCTACAACCACCGCAAATTTTAGCACAATATTTGTGAAATTGACTGAGTAATAGCCACTTTGGTGTTTTTAAGGTCAGTTGGCTGACATTGAATATACGTTTTGCAATTTGTTTTCCCCCTCACTTAAACACAGTCTGCAGTTCTTGGCCTTTGATACTGAAGCCAGCCACGACATGCTGAAGGTTTGGGACGGGCCACCTGAGAATGAGATGTCCCTGGCGGAGCTCAGTGGGTCTCTGATCCCAGAGGGGATCCACTCCACGCTGAACACGGTCACCGTTCAGTTCGAGACCGACTTTTACATCAGCAAGTCAGGCTTTGCTATTGAGTTCTCCAGTAAGTATTGCTGAGCAGACATCAAGATTTATGATGAAGATATATTAGATTTAAATGTGACACACCTGTTGTTTAGAAGGTTTTGCAAAAAAAGCTACATTTAAAGGGGAAATTAAAGTATTTATGAAAACTATACCAAGATTTGAGAGAGGGGTAAAGGAAGCCATCTTTGGGAAGAGAACTTGTCCATCGTTAAACAGAGGAGGAGGCCTCCATGTTCAACTGACCCCCTCTTATAATGCTGTTATTGCATCACTCAGCCTTCTGTGAATAGCAAGTTGCCACCAGGGCACTAACAATCAGTTGTTAGGCTGATGGTCCTCCATTTGAAGGTGAGAAGGTGCTATTTATAAGACTGAGTTTGTTGCAGCTCCTCAGACTGAAGAAGTATTTTGGATAAAAATATGAAAAGTTTCAACAAAGAATAATCAGTCCAGTGGACTTGACAACATTGTTAGATTTATTTTCTTGGATTATTGAGCATGCATCAGGACATATACCATAATAGATACTTTCAATACAGCCACATTTTATTAAAAGTATTATTTAAAGTGAATGATACAATAAGTCTTCCAGTTTAAAATGTTATTTTAACAAGCCATTAATTGGTCTAAATGGTTCTAAATTAAAAAAAAAAATATATATATATATATATATATATATACTTTAAAGGAGGAAAATAAATGAGTCAAAGTAAAATAATAAGAACAAACAAACATTGTTTTTTTATGTTTTCTACTTTTATTACAATACATTTCAAGTTTGATAGCTTTTTAAAATTAAATTGATAATTTCAGCTAACATACAAAGTTGTTTTACATGAAGGAATTTCTTGTTAGAAAATAATCCATGGCATTCTTAGCAATATAAACAGTTAAAGTTAAACAGTTAAGTCCATGTAAAAATTAAAGGCTGGATTAAAAAACAGTGTAAAATATCAAAAAAATCCAGTTAATGGTTGCTATAGCTAAGCACAACAGATTCCTTATATTGAACGATTATCTGTTGTTTTTCATAAATCTACATACAACCATTTTTTCCCATTAATGTGATTTAAAAACATTTATACACCAAATATTAATTTATCAGCATTAAAAAGAGTTTTGTGTGCAGTATCTTGCTTTAGATGTCAGACAATCCACAACACAGTGTTGTAATTGGTTACCTGGGTTGTTTTTAGATAAGGCTAGGAACTGGGCAGTAGTCCAAAGAACATGTATACAGTAGTGTGACCCTGCTTTTTGTAATTGCTCTCCTTTTCCTCATCTGTTGTCTCTGTCTCCTACCTGTCCAGGCTCTGTAGCTACAGCCTGCAGGGACCCAGGTGTGCCAATGAACGGTAGTCGTAGCGGAGATGGCCGTGAGCCGGGGGATTCGGTGTCCTTTCTGTGCGACCCTGGTTACGAGCTCCAGGGGGATGACAAAATAACCTGCATACAAGTGGATAACAGATACTACTGGCAGCCCAGCCCGCCTGTCTGCATAGGTAAAAAGTCCAGCTTCAGTAAATTCCATAGGGACATTTAAAAGATGTAGTGCACCCAGCTAGAGTTGTTTAGGCTCGAGGATACATCTTTCAGTGATGTATAGGAGGACAGTATGAACTAGACCATGTTTATTTTACTACATTTTGGTAATTATTACACTTATCACACTTTCAAACAAATACCTTATCACCTGTACCACTGTTCTTTGTAGCACCTTGTGGAGGAAACCTGACAGACTCCAATGGATTTATACTCTCTCCTAACTACCCACATCCCTACCCTCACTCGAAGGACTGTGACTGGCTCATTGCTGTCAACTCCGACTATGTCTTGTCACTGGCTTTTATCAGGTAACCAAAAATCTACCATCCAGTCCCAGCCACTCAAAGTCCTCTCCATAATAAAATACATTTTGCAAATGTGTTTAATGCTGCATTTGCACATTCTATTCACTTTTGAAGAGCATTTTTTTTAGAAAAGCTTGCCAAAACTAGATTAAAACCCCACCTTTGGGAGTATTAATGTGTACTTGGAATACAAAGATTTTTAGAAACACGGGGATTGCAGCCTACCTTACACATGCTCACAATGGTTTTGTGTGCATTAAACTCCTACATCAGAGGAGCCATATATATCAGGATTTCCAGAATTAACTTTTTTAGATTTTTCTACCTGGACTATTGAGCATGCATCAGGATATCATATACATATATCAGGGTTTTTATTTTTTTGCGTTTGGTGACTATGTAATGCCAAGAATAAATAAATAAATTTGTAAGTATTACAAGTTCTTGATGAAGAAAAAACAGATGAAGAGTAAGAAGCACAAACCACAGCTTTTTTTTAAGAGAATGATAAACAATTTTCATAATTACCCTTTTATATCTTGAACTGCCATTTAAGGTGATATTGTCGCCATCTACTGGCCAGGCATGGGTATTTCAACATTTGTTGGAATTTGTACTTCTTGTCTGGTATTGGTTATAATTCTAAATGTGTATATATATAATATATATATATATATATATATATATATATATATATATGCCTCCCTGCGCTTTCAATAGCAGCCCACTGTCGGCCATGCCCAGTTCTTCGCTGCAGAACAGAAATCGACTGAGGAGGAAGGAGGAGGGAGGAGGAACTGCAGGAGAACATTTCTCCTGCAGTGTGGGCTGCACACAGGTGCAGCAGGCACTAAATAATTTAAAATAATTTGTTTTAAGTAAAAATTCCATGCCGACCGTGCGGATCATCCACCAATCAGCCAATTGTGTGTCATGTCCAATCTTATTTTGAAAAACCATGATAGAGCGAGTCCACGAA